CCTTCAAGAAGACAGAAGATGGTTACAGAGAAGGGAAGAGGATCAGGAAACTCAAAAGAGTTGGCCGCATAGAGCAGCGTGTGGCGCGGTATCGAGAGGCCCCAGCAGGAGGAAGGCAATCGAGACAGGAGGCTCTGCATGAAAAAGGAAAGACTGAAATGAAGTACATAAAAAGAGCATTAACCCAAGGGGGCTGCAGATGTATCCAGCTCACTGTCTGCAACCAGTAAGGATTTTTTGGACACTGCTCATAGTAATGAAGCGGTGAGATTTTACTCTGGAGGTCCCATAATCCACCTTCCTATCATAACTGACATGCATGGGAATCTGCCATACGGCAAAAGGGCCCCTCAGCTACAAGACACTGGCTTCACTGTGGTCTGACATGAACAGCAGAGGCTGGAAAGAGAGAGTAATCCACAGGGACCCACGCTTACAAGACAGCTCTGAACAGCTCCAAAAGAAGGCAAGATAAATGCATAACCCAAGCTACTGCCACTGGTGAAGCAACGTGCACTGCCTACACAATGTCTCTGTCTGAAGAGCCATGTTTCGGATACACAGCAATGCTTGGACTGTCCTTTGAAAACGTAAATCTCTCAGCTGCATGTTGAGGTTCTCTCTCCACCCTTGAACATTAAGCCCATGATGCTGCATATCCTAGAGGCTTCCCCACTTCCAAGGAAAGAGCAGAGAAAGCACAAAGATCCTACATGCCTCCTGTCTCCGCTAACGAGCGTACAGTGAAAAGCTCAACAGGAAACCTTCTCGTGGAATTGCAGTAGGATTAACGAACTGGAGCACAGCTCATTCATAATGCATGAATACACGCGGCGTTTGATGTCGTCAAGAAGGACACCCGTTCTTGAGATGAACAATAGTCCTACTGAAGACTGACAGTTAAAGAAAAGCCTTCCTCTTGTGCCACTATAAATTATTGACTCAATAGAAAGCTGGAAAGAGGATGTAGCTGGATTAATAATTTAGGTTTTTTATTCCAAATGAAGATGGAATTTTACGTGCCACTTCTCGCGAAGCCAACAGCACGTCCCGCGGTGCACGGCCTTCCTTCCCCGGAGCCAGAATCACGTGGGTGCAGCTGGGGAGCTCTCCAAGGTGGCTGCAGCTCCACTTCTCAGGCCTTGGACGAAGAGCCGGCGAGACTCCACAGCCCCGTGCCAAGCAGCTCTTCGCTGGACTATCTGCTTTTGCTACCAGGCATTTACTTCTGACCCTGTGCTTTCCAGGACTTTGCACAGACTGCTCTGAAAAGGCAAATGTCTTGTGTCCTAGCGGGCAGATTTACAGAGAAGGGAGCGCCTTTCCAAAATGCTCCCACTGAACCCCGCCGCGTTGGTGTTGCACCACCCAAACCAGATATAAACATGGCAGAATTTTTTTCATACTGAAATGAGACCAAGAATAGGCCCACAAAGTCCACGCTGAGCAGCCTACATCAGGGGGCTCAACACATGCAGGAGAGAAATAGCAAGAGGCAGGGTCGGTGGGGAGGAATTAAGTATAATCTGCATTTGGATGTAGTTCTGCACTTTGGAAAGATGATTAGTCCTGAAAAAATCCATCATTCCTATCCTACGATTAAAAAATGTGGAGTGATTGATAGTAGTATCTGCTCTTTGAGGCTAACTTACCCTGCTGGAAAAACCTACCCTGCAGCATTACTGGTCACAAGTTTGCATTCGGGTTTGGAACATCAGTAACAGCATTATCTGGCTGTCTCTAGACAAAATAACTAATTCCCATCACTTGACCCGAAAATCCTCTCTTTTCATGAACGCCTTTGTTTAAAAGACTGTAGGTCATTTCTGGTGGAAGAAAGTTAACATTGCCTACGTTTTGATTAATCAAATCCTTTAGGAAAAATATAATACGCTATAATCAAAGTAGCTCTGCTACATCAGTGCTCAAAGATGACCACATCTATGCCCAAATTGCATTTCAAAGTCAAGATGTTAGGAGCTTTGTGTCCTGAGATTACAGGCGAGTTTGAGTCTCCAAAGCCTGGGGAGCTGGAGCGGTACTAAGCGAAGGCAGTTGTTAAAAAAGGAGGACACACAGCTCTCTAAACCATTTGCCTATTAAAAAATTTACATCCACTACTCTGCATAGATGAGAAGCAGCTAGCGAGAGCCTGCTGGCTACTTAATAAAGTGCCTGTCAGAAGGGAAAGGACAGATGCAGGCTATGACTCAAGGAAGCAGCCTGTTTCCATCACTCCTAGACAGCTAATCTCAGAGATGGATGGACTGACTGGGACTACACATGAAAGCTAAGCTTGTGGCAGGGCTGTCTTGCCAGCTGGTGATGGCAAGGGGACGAGGGAAGAGAGGAAAAACTGCAGTAGAACCAGCTGTGTAAGCAACGTCTAGGTGGATGAAAACCTGGTGGGGAAGGAAAAAAAGAGGATCAAAAGGCAAATAATTTCCTGGAAAGCACAGTGTGAAGGAAAGGAAGGCGAGGAAAGAATTCAAACATCACTAGGTGAAGGGGACAAGGGGACGTGTGCTACAGTGTCTGTAGGAGATCATTTAACTTTACATTAAATTACATTCTCTCTGCGTTTCCCACAAGGGTTGGGAGCTGCACAAGCACTTCAAGCAGCTGAATTACTTTTGGTGTTTGAGCTGTGAACCTCTGACAGAAGAAATAAAGAGCCCTCGAGCAGCATCCAGGCAGACAGGAATTTTCAAGTATATACTACATATACTATGCATCTGCAGTGGGAGTCCATTCAGAGATTCTGGGGGTGAAACACTTCCCAGTGGCATTTACAAAAGCTTTTTAGCTCACCCTTCAAAGAAGATCCTTGCTCCCACTCCCAGATGCTTGAAGCACAACAGAAAGACAATCATATTTGTACGTGTGCAGGAACACACTTCACGTCGACTGCTTCAGTAACGAGCTCCATTCATTTCTGGTAGCAGAGGACAACACATTACTCAAGGTTACAACACACTATAGCACCGAGAAGAGCCAGTGCAATTTAGGCAGCATGCACCTCACGGTCACAGATTTGAAGGTGCCCTGAGAACCTTGTTCCCCCCGCAAAAATTGGAGGCTTATAAGGAAAGCTTTGAGCAGGGGGTTGGGGTTAGATGACCTCCTGAGGTCCCTTCCGACCCTTATTTTCCATGAAAGAGTGGTGTATTTAGTGCTTGGCAGGAGACAAAAGGACCAGAGGAAATTTATAACATGACACAGTGTGACTATGAACACAAAGGGATTATTTCAGGTAAACCAGGTGGAATAGGGTACATCTGGTGGTGGCCATGAAGAGAAGTGAAAGTTTCATCACAAAGGACTCCTCCGACAGGACCAAATAAGACTGCCAGACCCTGATGCGGGTGACAATCCTGCATTCACAGAGGGATGGACTGGATGATTTAACAGGTCTCGTCTACACCTGAACGGATGTACTGGCAGCCAGGAATTGTTAAAAGAAATATCCCGCACAGATCATTTAGAATTCTAATTTATTATTAAATTACATAACAAAGCTTTTTTTTTTTTTATACATACAGAAAATGCACGATAGGGGAGAACAAAAGTCATTACAGGTGCAATAAAATAGTTAGGTTTCAGCAAGCCAATTGAAAAGCAAACAAATTAGAAAGTGCAACTGGAAAAAAATACACAGGGCCCTGGATTGTTATATTCCACAACAAAAGACGACGGCCTTTCCTTTTGACCAAGCATGATATGAAATGCTTCCGGGCTCAGTGGTGGGCACACTAACAGAGGCTTTCACATGCACTGATCACACTTGGGCATCAAGAGAGGCACAGGGCGCCAAGTGGATTTGCAGGGGTCTCGCCAAACACGGCTCAGTTTTGTCTTTAATTATCTTGTATAGCCCACTTTTACATATGCTCCAGTCTCCAGAGGGGGGGCGGTGCAACCTCTCCATCATGAACACTCCAGAATTATTTTCCTCATTTGAAAATTGTGTCCTGAATGCAATTTGAAAACAGGGAAAAGAAATCCTGATGTGCAAAGGCATCTCAGGAAACAAACTCAGCTCAGTTGCTTAACTCTGTATCGCCTGAGGTCCATTTGCAACCTGCAGCAAGGATCTGAACTGCACTAACCACTTTTTATAAGGATTTTTCACACGCTAGAAAAAAAAAAAAGGGGTATTGGTTGGTTGGTTATGTAATGGTGTGGTGGCAACTGGATTCATAACTCGATACCTAGAGGTTCCTCATCTCACGAGTGACTAAATGAAGAAAAATGCTGTCTTTTCCTTCTGGATACCCAAGCAGGAGCAGACTCCTGTCTAATGAAAGCACGTACAGAGTTAGTGAACACCCCACTGGTCCCAGCCATACACAAAGGGAATCAAACCCATTAGGCATCCTTGCTCTGCCAGTCTCTCCAGCAAAGGATGCTGACTAGTGATAAATTGGACTGTACTGTAGGAAGGCCGGGCTGCTGTGACACTAGCTTGCGCAGGACACGGCGTTTCTCTTCCTGGGCGGCAGAGACTTTGAAACGCTCTCAAAGCGACTGAGAGCAGTCACCCATGTGCCCTGCCAGAATCGACTGCCTACAGTTACCGCTGGATGCTTTACAGGACTGCGACACTACCGGCTTCGCTGGACTACCCACCCCCACCAAGTAGGGAAGCCTGGCTTCCTTAAGTGAGGTGAGAGGGAGCGAGACAATGAAAGAACACAGCAACGGGAGGCACGAGACCCAGGATGAAAGACTGAATAAGCCTGCCATTTCCTTGTTATTCTCATTTATCATAGTCCATTGGCCTAGTTACAGATTGGATGCCCTAGTTGGGAGAGGGATGGAGGAGAAGTAGCAAGTTTCTATCCCTGGCCATTAGCATTCCTTCTTAGAGAGCCAAGCCGCGTGCCAGGACCATCGCACGCTCACGTAAGGGGCAGCTCTCCTCGGGTAACTGAATGCATTCGGAGATACCAAACTCTCTCAACACCATTTTGCACTACAACACAAGATCAGCTCCTCGCTAGCCATGAGAGGTCAACTGCTTACACATTAACGATCAACCACGTGTTTTCCGTAGCGGCTTCTGTTGCACAGTAAAATTAAATATATAATCAATTAAGTCCACTAAAAAGACTGGTTATAAGATTAAATATATGAATTTATTTATGATGCTGCAACTTTTCTAATTGCCCACTATATAGCAACCAAATCCTATCAATCCTAACAGGAGCATAACTGCCAATCAGGGCCCTTTGAAAAAAATCAAAGAAAATAACATATCAGGGGAGCTGAGTTTTGATCTCCCAACACACAGAGATTCATTAATAAATTTCCTTTATCTTTCAATCTTTTTCATGAAAACCCCCCCTAATGAGCACTTTATTTCACACCAGGAATATTCCCCAATCATCCAAGTGACCATCCTTTATTTAAAAAGCTAAGCCTCAGAATTTTACAAGCGATTGCGAACGTCTTCTAATCCCAAAGAGAAGAACTGACAACAAAAAAAGGCTTTGCATCCTGTTCAGCACAAAGTCATTACTCCGTACGCAAGCCTTTTTCAAGTCCAAATGAACAATACAGTTTACATTTAACTGTATGATTTTACACACTACACAGGCACAATTCTTTACTCCCTCCAACAGGGTACTTCACATACACTATAAAAGCAGTAATGAAATGATGACTGTCCTGGGTTGGTTGTTGTTTAGCACAGGCTAAGGTCTGGAGACTGTATCAGACAGCAAGGGTTACCAAGAGAGCAGACAATGAACCTACCAGGAGCACTGCAAGTGAATTGTGCAAATAGTTAATCACATCCTTAGAAAGAAGTCCAGTGCCACAGAATTTTCCTTTTTTACATTATAAGACAGGTGAAGGTAGAGAACAAATGGAAAGAGGAGACGATCTGTAATTTTTACATCTGCTATATCAAAGACATTCCTGAAGTTAGATCTGTTAACAGTTACTCAATACCAATACATTTTGATGACAAAGTATTTCTGGTGTGTTTCGACAGCTGAAAAAAAATCTATTAATATGTTTTTTGCAGGTACTAGAGAAGAGATTTAATTGCATATTCAGCCATTCACTCATTCAACTCTTTACTGTGAGTTATGTATTTAACAATTTTGCACACGGATACATTGGTCACTGGGCATAACCACTGTATTTTTCATTCCAATGTACAGTTTCAATCTCATCCTACTTACAGTGTAAAAATATTAATGCTATTAGAATAACTTTCATCTAAATTAAAATAGAGACTTTTTTTTAAATTGTTATATCTTTATGAAGACCTTTGTGGTATCAGCCCAAACTGAAGTATTTATACCCAAAAAGTTACTTTCGCTGAAAGTGTGTTTGGTCACTCTTCAAATGAATTAATAACATGGTGAAACTGAGAGGATACTATGCTCCCTTTTTCCAAAGCAGGACTGCTAGTATTTCCTGGAATCCCCTTAAAGCCACAAGAAACCTTTTCAATTCTCCTTGGAGAGCAGTTTATACATCTTCTGTGCAAAAAAAATAAAATAAAATGAATCGAACAATCAACATTTGTCTGAGGAATTTGTGGGAAGAAAGCAGTTTTCACAGCATAAATTATGTAGACATGACTTGCAATTGCTTAACCACGAGTTAGAAAATATTACAGAAGTTGCATTTAGTAATAAAACAACCTGATGGCTTAAAGCTGCCAGATCCTTAATGTAGGGCCAAAATGTCCAGTGCTGTACTTGACCTTGGGGGGGAACCGGCTTCCTGAAGAGGTTCCATCCAGGAGAAGCGAACCAACATTTTTTCCACTTAATAGGCAACAACAGATTGCATCTTGTCAGAGTATGGAAGCTTCTCTATTGATGCTCTTAAATGCTATATGTTTACTTACCTCATAGTGAGATGGGGGATTTAAAAATTAAAAAAAAATCATCACAGGAGCAAAATTAAACAGAGAGAAAGTGTGTATGGCAAGGGAGGAGAAATACTGCAGCTTCAGCTCAAAACCAGTGTTGCAGAGTCTGCCACCATAAACCTTAGACATCATGCTGATATTCCAGCCACCATGAGCTGGAAGGCTGTTGAACAGGTCTACTGACTTCCCCCACCCACTTCTCCTTGATGGGGAGGGAGAGATGAGGTTGCTGAAGTCTCTGGAGAACGTCCATCAATGGAAAGCATATAGCAACAATAAGATGGTACAGATGCCAATAACGCCACCCAAGATAAGAGAGTCTCGTCGCTTCCGTAGATTGATCCTTTGAATCAGGTTGTTCACGGCAGGAAACCGATCTTTAGGGAGGCTGAGTTAAGGTCATGTCAGCAAGAAGCACCCATATTGAACAGGCCCCACTTTTCGTACTGAGAAGTTAGCAACAATCCAACGGTTTAGAACGACTTGCAGACTGGAGAGAACAGATGCAAAAAAGCCACCTAATGGCTAGTTATCAACATAACCATTTGCTCTGTTAATAAGGGAAACAATGAAAGCGAGAAGACAAAAGAGCAGCTTAAAGTTGGCATGTATGAAGAATTGCATATTTAATCAGCTAAGCTACTAGTGGCAGATGAAATGTTACTTTTACTAATCATATTTACATAAGAATGAAAAATTAGGCCAAATGCATACATATTTGTGGAATTTATCCAACAGAGTGGGGACAAAGGAGAGTGCCTGCCGATGTTTCATATTCAGTGATTCCCTATTGCTGCATGGTATAGAGGGAGCAGCTGCCCTTGCTGCAAAATGTTTGAGCTGTTCTTATTTAACAGTTAAAAAAAATAAGATTTGCAAACGAGATTTCAAGTTTTAGACCTTTGTCTTTGGGCCCAAGAATCCTTTAAAGCGGATATTTAATTGAGTTGCTTTTGTTCTTGCCAGTTGCTAAAAACAGTAATGAAATTTATGCCTCATCTAGCTAGAGATTTTCAGGATGTAATCTGTCTAATCAAATGAGGCAGATCAAGCGCTGCTCTTCAGCCTGCTAATGGAAAAGAAGAAGTAAATTGGGGGTGGGGTGGGGGTGGGGGGGGATGAACACAAGTGACATCAAAAGCCAGCACATCCTTTAGCCTGGAGCATGCAGCGAGAGAGATGAAATGAAGAAGCTAAATGTAAAATCAAGAAGTTTGCATGAGACGAGAGGATCCCCAGGTCATGAAAACACTGAGTTCCAAACTACAGCCACGACAAATCCATGTCAAGCGGCAGCTCCCTTTGTCTCTGAAAGAGAAAAGCAAAGGAAACACTAAAATGCAAACCTGCTTTTAACACAAAACACATAGCTGGAGTACACATTGACTTCGCCCTAGAATGTCAAATGAAAAATTCAATACTGGTGTATGTGGGGCATTCAAACTCATGCTTAAGGAGGTCAATACCTAGTCCAGCACATCACTAACCGGGAGGCATCTTACTGATAAAGCAAGGCCAGCAAAATGAGATCTGCTCCTCGCTAACAATACTATGATGACTGGGGTTGCACGGCTGTGGACAACAGAAGTGTTTGCAACCCGATTTGCAGAATGAACCGGTCTTGAGGCAGCCCCCTCTTCAGGCACGAGCAGCACAGCTCTTTCAGAAAGGATACTAGCAAAGGTGTTCATCTTGCTTTGTAATGACTTCAGCATCCCTCTCTGCGAAGTCATATTTTCTTTTGTTGCCATAGCAATGCTGGAGGAGGGGGGAGAAAAAAAAGAGTGGATCAAACTGCTGATGCTAAGAATAATTTGCAAAACAATGGACAAGCAAGGTGCGCGCCACTCCTTTGGAGGGTGGTGAATGGGCTGTAGCTACGAGAATGAAACCACGTATTTTCTTCGCTGATCTTTACAAGTTAGCTTTATACCGCTTCTCCTTTCAATAGACAGAAGCAAGCAACTTTCTGAACAGTGCAAATTAGCAAAAAAAAAAAAAAAAAAAAAAGGATAATGAAACATTATAGGCCAGCTTCGATTTTCTTCAAGACCAAAGAGTCTTGCTTCGCTCCAGAGGCACTACAGCCTTTTTTTGCACTAGATTAGCACCCAAAACAACTCACTGGATACACCACAGTGTGACTGCCACTAAAAAAAGAATTTGGTAATGAGTTCAACTCTAATTAAAACAACAAACGCGATCTGGACAGTGAGCATCGCTGCCTGAGGCCAAACGGCTCATGGAGCTCTACACTGAAAATCAAATGCAAGGCTGTGCCCTGCAGTCAGTGCCAAAGGCTTCTCTAGCCAGTACGAAGTGCTGCAGTTATTCCAGTTTATGCAAGGTACTTAGTCCTCTGGCTCCTGAGAAGTTGATAACACGGGTCCATTTGCTGTACCAAACTTCTGCGTTCCTGCACTTTGTCTTTCACTCGAGACTCTGAATTGGCTGGTTCCCATCAGTCAGAGCTGAACGACTGGTCAGTATTGAGAGAGACCCCAGAACACGATTTCCATCCGATGGGACCAAATTAACTTAATTTAGAGCCCTGGTCGTATCAACCAGTTGGCCCAACTCCTATCAGTCACACGCAGACTTCACACAAGTAGAACAGTAGAACTCCTCCCACCGCCGCAACAAGTAATATATTTAATGATATTTCAAGAATCAAACAGTAAAAAAAACCTGACAGTGTATTTCAGAAAGTTGGGGTGGGGGTTCATTTGCTTTCATTCAGGTATAAGCAGATAAATCAAAAGCAAGGAATGAAAGGGCAGCCTGTTACTTGCATCCACAGCTCAAATTTCATGTAGCTGCTCTGAAAATAATAGCTTTGTCAAGGCAAACAACATTTAAGCTCAATTACGTCTCAGAAAACAGAAAAATGTGAGAGCTGAGGCCTGCGGAGACTTCGTGTTTAATAAAGAACTGAAATATGAGAGCATTATTTAACCTGCAAAATGCTATTCTTGCCTGGCTGGTGAGCGGTTCTGGAGCATGGAAAGCAAACAGCACATAAAAAATGGTTGGATAATACCCAAGGGTGTTACTCCTACACTGCTGTTAACTGCATCTACATGAGTAGTTTTATACCTTTAACACTTAATTAGTCCCACAATCGCTTGAGATTTAGGATGTCTGAAAAATTGTTTCAGAGGAACAGAGGGGTCAATTACCGGCAGGACAACATAGTAGAGGGCAGCCTGAGAACAAGATCGATGCTGTCTTCTCCGAGGAAAGCAAATACAAGGTTAGAAATACCTTGGCACTGGAAAAAGCAGGAAAATCCCAATCTTTTGATAATATCTTTATCCAAAATGACAACCACTGCTAACATTCACCGTGCTGTTTCGAACGACAGCAAGTATGAAGCACAAGGGATGAACTGGTGCTAAATCAGTCTCTTGGTATACACTTTTCATTTACGACCACAACTGACACGACTTTAACCAGTCTCTGTAGGGCACGAAGTACTTGGTCTTCAAGAATTTCACAAAAGAAGAATATCTGACTTCAGGACCTTGCGCTTGCGTTTACACGTGGATACCACTGAAGTGCAAAGGTGCTTGTACCGATATAGCTTATTCTGTAGGGGAAGAGGCATTAAATCGCCCTGCTATAAGAGAGACTTACCGTACTACAGCTTCATCCACGTTAATGGTTATACTGTGCAACTCCTTTGGTTATAAATAAATGACTGACTGACATCTCAAACAACAGTAGTTATATTGATACACTTTTCAAGCATGGACTGCATCTTCCCGAGCTCTTGAAACACAACCACAAAACAAGTTTTATGGGTCTGGGAATCTTTAGCAAGGGAACAGTAGCTTCTGCCTTGGCAGGGCAATTACCTTTGGGACAGAGGGTTTTGCATCACCCATGACCCAGTGGTTGGTTCTTTGCCCAGTCAACGAGGACACTGTGAACAGCAGTAACAAAAAGCTGGGAAAATGGGCAGAATGGTTCAGTCCCAGAGCTGTCCTCAGGGAATTATGGCAAAACACCAAGGTACCAGTGGGCTGTGCCCCTGACCATTGAATCACTGGCCCCTAAGATCCCCAAAGCAATGTAGGCCATTGGGCTTCCTTCTGCCAAATCCCTACCGTGCCTTGAAAGGGCCATTATGCTTGAAATCATCCTTCCTATCATGTGCCACGCACCCACCCTCTCTTGAAATTCATTCTTCTCTTCTGAGACTGTTTCCCAGTTCAAGATCCCCACAAGACCTGGCAATGGCAACACCAGAAGCAGTGGCCTATGCAGAATACTGGGAACAGACCAGAGAGAAAGGTCGGATTGGAGGCACAACAACAAAGACAACTATTAAAAACAGCAGCAGCCACAGAGGCGCTGGGAAGGTGAACAAAATGAATCAATCCGATGCACAGCTCTGAAAGAACCCAGGCGGCCAAGAGCATCCAGTCTCATCGTGGAATCACGGATCGTATTTTGCTTACGTCTCTGTGGAGCATGTCTTCCTCTTTCCTCCAAAAGCTCTTTAAAGTGAGTTATTCTGAACAGAATAATATGTATTGACAGGGCAGATCAATACAGGCTTCACTCTAGGATGCCATTAGCACTAGAATGAAGTTGAAAGGTTATTGGTAAATTGGAAGTGTATCAGTCTTCAATGAGTATAAACAGCTGGGTGACAAGCATGCGTAAAATGTACCTTTCTGACTGAGAACTCTCCAAGAACATATTCATTAGCTCTGAAGTTGCACAAATTCCTTAGGACATCGGGAACTATCAAAGGCCTTAAACCAATTCTTGTTTCCAGCTTTTGTCGGTCACCATCAGCATTCTTTTTTATATGCTTTTTACACAAAATCAGCATAGCAGAAACTAAACTGCTGGGTATCTGGAAAAGCAGTTGGGCATGCAGCCACCTTGCTTATGAGCTCATCAAATAAGCAAGGCCAGGTTGGTTTCAGCTCTTGGATGGAAGACAAAGACATGCAAGGCAGTACTGACTTGGCATCGACAACTCGGTAGGCAGATTGCTTCCTTCCAAATCTGTACAGAACAAATGCCTTAGTACGGTGACAGTAAGTTGTGTCTTGGCTGGGAGAGCTTTCTCTCCAATTCAATGTGAAACTAAGCTTCTCGCTACCAGGTCATTAAAGAGCCCAATGCCATTCTATATAAAAAGGACAGCATTAGTGCCAAGACCTGGTCAATTTTAATTTAGGGTTTCTGAATTGTGCCCACTTGAAATTCTGCTGGTAATTTTAACTGGGCATGGCAGTCCTACCCCAAAACATCCACTGTATCGCAGTGTACTATAAGCAACTACCATGCCACCTCCAGAGGTGCTTGATGATATTCTTATGTAGCTTGTAAAGTGCTCTGAAATGAAAGAAGCTATAGAAATGCAAGGTATTCTGAGGCAAAGAGGGTAAAATTAATGCCTCTGGTCCCCAACACTGTCATATGTGGTCTCCCCATTGCTTGCTTAGTGTCTGTCTGACTTGGTTGATTAATGTCCTCTACGCTATGGGAAGCACAAAGGGAGGTCAGCCATGCATCGAACACCGTGGTCCAGGAGTCTTTAAGAGCAGCAACACACACACATGCACACGGCAACACTGTGTGTTTCCCCGAGTACCGGAACTTGGCCCAATACATGGGAATTATCAGCTTTACAGTAGAGATCCCTTTCAAGCCTAAAATTAACATCTGAGGGAAAAAGGAATAAGCTAGGCAATCTGTCCTTACTGGGATAGAGAATGCAATAAAGAAAGGCATGTAAGCAGGAGGCAGAGACTCTCAGCAGGGATAAACGGTTACGTACAGAAAGCAGGTTTCTGTTGCATGCTGTAAAAGATTTGCAAATAAGACTCATACAGCTGTCAAGCAGTATTGGGTGTTAAACGCGTGTCAGTGGCAAGGTTCTTTATATAAATGTGTAAATTAAATATGCCAAGTTTTCTTCCCCTACTGTTCTAGGTATTACAATCAACAGAAGACTACAAAGCATTCATTTTCTACTAAGAATAGCTTTCAGGAAAAACTGGTTGGGGGGGATAGAGGGGAGAGTAATTTGGTAAAGACAGGTGGGATTTCAGGGCTGTACACAGGGGTAGTTTCCCCAGGAACTGCAACTGGTTTCATAGTTATTGCTGAAATCCTCAAACAGTATCCCCTCATCCCCTGTCTTGAAGTAGGCTATGCGTTTTCTTACAACGCATCCAGTGACTCATTAAAGCAGCCAGCAATTTACTGAAGTGGAGATAGAAGATGACTGCCAGAATACACAGAGTGTTGCTGAGCTACACGCAGGATACCTTTGGGAAATCATTACGAGACCCTGTTACGGAACGAGGAGTTAATGTTTTGACACCCGATGAGAAAAGCAGTCTATTTTATAAAATGAGGGAATCAAAGGCTAATACTTTAAAGTGCAGAGATTATGTATTTTAAAAACTTTCCTAATTGATATCATTCAGTAAACTGAAGAATTTGGATCAACTAGACATTCTTGAGAAAGAAAAGGTTGGGCAATATACATTTAGTAATGATACAGTAAAACACACAATTTCCTGGAATCAAGTTCCCCTGAATAATAGTTAAACTAGATTTCAGCTACTAGCTGAATATATTGGAATTCAGCTAAAAAGCATTCATGTATTCTTCACATACACACTGAATGCTCAAAGTGAAACTAAGCTCTTACCTTCATAACACAATCGATATTCCCAGATAAGTGCAAAGTATTATAAGAATGAACTGAGAGAACCCTTTTGGGACCT